AAAAATTGCCAAGCACGAGAACATTACCTCCAGATCCCGCCGCATCACAATGTCAATAACCACTGAGAATTCACTGCGAATACTGTACTTTCTGAACCCAGTCTGCGTTTTTTTTTTTTCTTAAACTCTGTAATGCCTCAACAACTCCTCGAATCCAAAGTCTGTCTTTCTCATTCACGCAACGTTCGCACGCGTCCGCCTCACGCAACGGAATGCCGACGGTTGCACCAGGTTTTTCTCCTCGCGCGGACTTCCCGGCTGTTGGAGCGAACGCATCTCCGGGTCAAGCCCAGCAACACAGACACGGGGGAACATGGGCGAAAAGAAAATAAATGCTCCTACTCTTTTTTTTCTTCGCGGAACTCGACGCACGTTCGCTGAAGAAAAAGTAAAATAAACTAGAACGAAAATAAACATACAGTACTGTAGGCTAATGGTGGACGAGTATCACGTAAAATACGAACTTTATTCAAGCTCAAGACGCAAAAAAAAGAGGAATGAGTTCCGTATCTACTTGGTGTTCGTGCCACAGATCGTTCGGAAACCTGAAGCTAGAGAAATTGCGGAAATTAGCCCATATTCTAAGGCATTGGGAAAGTGTATTCCTGCTCAGAGTCTCTCGCAGGTGTAATACGTAGTACCTGTTTCTTAATCATGTCCAAAAGCATTCGGAAGATTACTTGATTATCCGGACTCTATGATGCGGATAATCGCTTCGTAAGTTTGCATAGGAGAGCTGGCAAATTTTCCCTAGCATTTCAGGCTCTGTAATCCATTTTTTACGAGTTTTTCTTTTATAATAAAGTAGTGTACAGATTTTCAAGTATTAAAAATTCCTTATTCAAGACGGAAGAGAACAAGATCATTGATGGAGTGCTTTCAAAAATGTAAAAAATGTGTCCCTCATCTTCATTCTCGGCCATATAAAATCGAAATCTTCTTTCAGCGTGTTTTTCATTGCAGTTAAATACATTTCTTTTAATTTCGAAATTGATTTATTTTCTGCATGTGTTGATTGAAAGCGGAATTTTCCAATGAGTCGAGAAGAACCCCGAAGATCTGAATTAATTATAAGAGTCGCTCTTAAAACGCAATTATCTTCTCGGAACATGGTTCGAGAACCTGTGAACGTGATTCATAACGCAATAGGACGATGGGTTCGTGGAACAGCCCGCATCTTAGCGAGTCCAAGGTATTGCGTCTTTCGAGTCCTTATCGCAGAGGATTAACCAAAACCCTGATAGTAATCCATTACCTGCATCCGGAGTCATTATCGCTGATGAATGGAATACACGTAGAGGACGAGAGGTAAGAGCGAATTTCGATGCGAAGAAGAGTTTACCAATTTCAACTCAATTTAACATGATTTTGAAAAGGAAAAAAGAAAAAATAAGCGAAGCCAATCACGTGCCAAATTGAACTATACACTACAGTACAATTGATTAGAATATTATGTCACGATTAATTATAGATCATCCGATTTGAGATTACTCGTAGGGCATAGTTTCTAGAGTCGAGGAACCTGGTCGAAATATAACACTTGAAACGTTCTCTCGCAGTGGAGTCAATCCGAATATAACATTCATGACCACACGGATTTACATCCTATGTTTATTTTCAAGAAATTGAACAATACTGAACTCCAAAACGCTGGTGAGCCATATGTAATCGGAATAAAGTTGCAGGCTTTTACCGAATTTAATTTTTTGATATAAAAAGTGAACAAATAAATTTAAATAACACACGAAAGCTGCTGTCCATTTTGAAAGCACCCGACTTTCATCGAAGAAAAATTATCTCCACAGAAGTGAAAATCTCGCTCTAGAATACAATATTTCACCGACTAAATACAACCGTCATTTGTATTTCAATACCTGTACACGCA